GGCGGGGTTGGGGCCTATGCCCCCCCCCCCCGCGCCGCCTGGGGCCTTTGTGAAAGGGGCCACCTGGTGGTAGAGGCGGCTCAGCTGCACCGGGGCCCAGGCGTCCTGGGGGTGTGTGGGAGCCCTGAGTGGGCAGTGGCCACCCACCCGTCTGGTCGGGCCCCGGCAAGGGGGACGGGTGTGGGTCAGACGCGCGGGGTTGTGGAGGATATTGTCCAAACCGAGGCCCGTTAGTTAGTCTGTCACTCCACGAGGGCTGGGAGATGGGCGGTCGGGAAGTACCTCGGGGTTATCTCAGGCGGACAAAGGCCTCAGCGGAGAATTCGCTGTCATCCACCACGGGTTGCTGGGTGATAGGACTGTTTACACAGACATTCGCGACTTCAAGTAAAGGTGGAAAAGGACTGACGCGTCTGTTTTCTAGGGACAACCCAGGCTGGAGAAAGCCCACGGCCACCCGCTGCGCAGCAGCAAGGCCTGGCTGCGGCGCGACAGCAGTCAGTTGGGTTTGGCCAAGCGACCCCCTCCGTCCCGCGTAACCCGTGCAGCCCGCACAGGGCCCGAGCGCAGGGCAGGGTAGGGCGGGGCGCCCCCGCCCCTCGCACCCACTCAGCCAGCACAGGTGCCCGGCCCAGACTCTGGGCGGAGACGCCTCGGGCCTTGTCTCCCTCCTACCCCTACCGGCCTCGCAACCACAAGGCTTCAGCTTGCCCGGGACGCGCCCGGCCAGGCTCCCTGGTGGTCTGTGACCGAACGGGGTGGGAGGGCTACGGCCGGCGAGGACGGAGCCTTTCCCTTCGACATCCCGTGGCCGTGGCCGAGCCAGAGCTGCGGGCCGGATCTCGGAGGGAGGCGGCGTGGGGCGCCCGTCCCCTAAGTGGCACACACGGCCGGGCAGGGTCACCAGCGCCTGCGTGGCGTCAGGCTGGCCAGCGCTCACGCCCGCGGGCCGCGGCGGGAGTGGAGACAGGGCTGGCGGTGCTCGCTGGCCCGGGGCCCTTCCGCTCAGAGAACCAGGCCGGCCCACCGGTGTACGCATCAAACCGCGCTCTTTATTAAGTGCCACGGTCCCGGGCGGGCGCGTCTCACTTCACGTGCTCGGCCGCGTGCGAAGAGCAGTAGTACTTCTTGTGCGCGATGAAGGTGGACAGGCTGCTGAAGCGGATGTTGCACAGTCGGCAGAACCGCGGGCTGCTGCTGGGCGCGGGCGCGGACGCCGGCGCGCTCTTGTCTGGGAGGGGCGCGGCGGCCGGCGACGCGGCCGGGCCGGGCCGGGGG